CAAAAAATTAGAACTTTTAGTGTGAGATGTATGAGTGTATGTTGGATCACACTGTAAGATGTATTTCTTACTGTAGAAATGTACCTTCAAAATAACTGGAAAACAACAGCCCTAAAGGTCACCACACTCTGCTGTGGACCAGGATGCAATTTAGGGCCTGACCAGAGGTGAAATGAAGACAAATGAATGGTGAATGTGTCTGTTATGAAAGAGCTGATCAGGAAAGAACTACACTATCCTAAGTCTGTGATTAAATTTGCAAGGCAAGAGAGCACTATGGTTGAAGAATTCACACAAATTGCACCATGTTAAAGTGAAGAAATGAACCCTTTCCTCTTGCAATATATATATATTTTTTTGTTTTGGGGCTGGCTGTAATAGTGCCCCTGGACAGTGTTCAGGTCCCCAACAAAGAGCAGTCACTGTTCTTAGTATAAAATCCAGCAGCATCTGGAGAGGATGACTTGAGAGTTTCTTTCTTCCCTTACAGGGAAAGGATTAAAAACTTATCTATCTTCTGAGATTAGCCAGTTATTAGTGTCATATAAATTTAGCTGGAAAGGAAGTTAGAAATATCCTTGGCACGTGGAACCAAAAAATAAATACTTGTTAGAGGAATTGGAAATTGAGTCTAACAATATCCTCATTTATTTTGCAGATGAGGGAGCTGACCTAAAGGCTTACACTATTGCCATTATTATAACAATGTTCCTCTTATATTTATCCATGATTCCAGTGTTTACTGTCCATGGAATGCATGTAGATAACAATATAAGAATAATGCAACTGTACACTATTCATTCCCCCACTGGAGAGCACACTTCTGGCTGGTAGGGATCACACCACATATCTTTGTACCCTTGTTAGTGCCTACCGTGGTTGGGGAAATTAATTAAGATAATACCTGCAGTACACTTAACAGAGTGCCTAGTATACTATAAAAGCTAAGTAAATACCGTCATATATGCTTTTATGGCTTTGACTGTAATAAGAGCATTATTATTATAGAATGTTTATGCATGGGAAATTCTTAACACCTATTGATTTTCACTGCATTATACAACAAAAAAAATCATACTTTATGCACTTAAAGTCCACTTATATTTGAAGAGACATTAGAACGCTTGAGTTCTTATCTACCTAAGGCACTTTAAGTAAATTACTAAAGATAAAAGAATTCCAATTAGTTAACTATCACCCAGAAAATTTCTTAAGTATATGAAAAGTAAATAGACCTAGGATTTGTGATTCATAAGGATAATATTTCTAATGAAAATATAAAATCTTGCATATTATGAAATCCATCCTTCTTTAGGTAAGAATCAGACTTGATGCTGCATGACCATTGGCATTGGGAGTTTGGAGCCGATACCCATGGCCACAGGCTCTGAATTCTAAAAGCAAAATGTGACTTCCTTTAGGAGATGTTCCACAAAGAAAGAATATCAAAACATTAAAATAAGTGAATCACAGTCTATTTTTTCTGAGGATCCAACAATGTTATCAAAGATTTTTTTTTCTCAAATCTTACAAGCGCTACAGCACCTTTCCCCCCTGCTACTTTTGTATGATATAATTAGCGTATAATTATGTGCTCTTTCACACTGGAAAGACTCTTCTTTTATTAATGACTCTTTGAAAAGTTCTTTATTATTTATCTTTGAAAGTAAGTTTGAAATCAAAAGGCTCTCATGCCTTTTCCTTTCTTTTGAGCTTAGGAGTTCTTAAAAGTAATACAATAGATGGTTATGGATGTCACAGGCAGTCCTAACTTTCCATTTTTAAGATGAGAAACAGGATTCAGGAAACAAATGTTGCATCCTCACTTCCCTCCAGATTATATGTTTGGGGTATTGAAGAACATATATGCAAAATATTGATGTTCCAACAAGGGCTCTCTATGCCTTTTCTCTCTTGTCGGGACAAATAGAAAATGGGTCAGAACAATAAGCTTCCTGAATCTAGTACAAAGACAGAAGGGGGGTGGAATTCACATTTATCATAGGTAAATTTCAAATGAGTCTTAAATGAAGATTCACCCAGCCCATAATGTAGTCAGTTCTGGAAGGTACCACCGTATCTCTGTGGAGGCTAAGCAAGCCTCATTGCTGTTTTTGGCTGACTGCTTTTGTTCCAACATTAGGCTTACTAGAGTACTCCAGATTGAATATGGGCAATTAAAAGGGGGGGGGTGTACATTATTGCAAATTTTAATCATTTCTTGAGCCATTTTGCTTGCAGTGATAATCCCACATGACCAACATATCTTGCATAAGAAACTCAACTGGCTTTTGGCTGCAAGCAGTTCTTCAGTTACTTTGTAACCTATTCCTGCTTAACTTCTGGACTTTCCCCATTTGTGGCCAGGATCGGCCAAATCAGGGCTTCAGTGTTTGCTTGGCTCCCCACAGCCATGGCTAACTTTTCTAAGACTGGCCCATGAACAATAATGCCAGTGACTCAAATAATGATCAGAACCTTCTCAATTACACTGCTGCTATTTATGTACAGCAGAAACTTCTGTCCAACACTTCCGCTGTGTGCAAAGTAATACTGTGTCAGAAGTATTTCAAAATTTTGTATCTCCTAGGTTTTTAGTACTATCTCAGTGGAGATAGAATAATAATAACCTGATGAACTTGGAAACTTTGTTTTTGAGGACTCGGGGAAATTTACCCAAATTATTTTGTGAGCCAAAAAACATTCAAAATTACACATATTTTTGCCTAGCCCTTTGGAATGCCATGATGTCCCTTTAGTTGGAAATGTCTACATAGCTGCATTTTCACCAGCTATCTTTTTCTTTTGAAGAAAAAAAAATACTAGTTTACTTTGAAAAATACTAATTTACTTTGTACTCAAGAAATTCCATCTTTCAAGATCACTGGTCTTATATATGATGAATTTTAATTTTTAAATGAGAATCACAGTCTGTCAGTTAGAAGGAATATTAAAAGTGATGAATTAACACCTAGAATTGCATGACTCCTCTCTCAAATATGTAAAATGAGGTCCTCCTTTAACAGCTCTTCTTCAGGGCAAAAGAGATAAAGTAGAAAGTACAAGCCACTATATGTGGCATCACACCTTAACTAAAACAAAATGGAGGATCTAGCTATGGTCCTTCCTCACTCACAAGGTGTTAGCCTGTCATCCAACTTGTTTAATTATGTTATGAAAACCAGTTAAATTTGAAGAATTTCAGACACAGGATTTCACCTTTGGACCACTGAGAGTAGGGCCCAGCCGGGAGTGAAGCAGCCACTTGTAAAACTATTTACCACGAGAATTTTGATCCCATGGTCTTGACCTTTTCATTTCAATGATCCAGAAAGGTAAAGATAATTTTAAAGGTCTACCTGATATGAATAGAACGATAAGTAATAGTGAGAAAAGCTTCCTAAGAATAAGTTAAATTATCTAGTTTAAACTACAGGTTAAAAGATTCAGTTCTGGAATGAGACTGCTTGGTTTGAACCCTGGCTTCCCTGTTAATTAGCTGGCTGACCTTGGGAAGTCATTGAAGATTCCGAAACTTTGGTTTACTCATCTGTAAAAAAGAGATAATAATATTATCTTCCTCACTGGGCTGTTAAGAGGATTAAATGAGCTCCTTCACATGAAGTGCTTGTTCGGTTTATGGCATATGTTTTAAGTATCCTATAAATGTTAGCTTCCTCATGTCCACTGAAGTAATAAAAAAACAGTTTAGTTGTAGAGTGCTAGTTTTTTTAATTTGCTTCAGAATCTCAAATCTTCAGTGAATTTCCATGAGTGCTATTTTGGACTAAGAATTAATAGTGTTAGGAAGGAAATATTTTCATGCTATAAATAACTTATCAGGAAATTTTTTATTGCCAGGATGTTTTTAACAAATCAATATACTGTATATTGTGTGTTAACGGACTGGATAATATAATTATTCTAATTAACTGATCACTCACTCTGTGGGTTTTGGGAAAGTGTGTCACCATTTAGCCAACAAATACAGTCATAAATAATTTGACAAAATATAAAGTTATTATTTCTGGTATTGGAAACTTAGTTTTGTGTATGTCTGAATGGCCAATGTACTAAACATGTTATTCACAGACTGATTTATATATCTGAAGGGATTTTAAAAATAATCCTTTTGGCTATGTCCAGAGAAGGCTTTTTAAAAAACTGCTATTATTAAGCAATATGATAAATTAACCAGTCTCTGGTTTTATATTAGTTTTTGTAAAGTATCACCTTATATCATTATTCTGTTCTTGTCCCCAATTTTCCAATTCTAATCAATAGTCTGCTTTCTCCTCAGAGCAATAAGCAAAACAAGACAGAACATTCATTTGCTGATTCTACAAAGAATTTAAATTCTGCCAGTCTAGAATATCCATGGACCTAATTAGGAAATCAAAGAATAAATCTAACCATTTTTCACTTCTCTACCATGTCCCAGAAGTCAATCATTGCATAATGAAATACATCATTGCCTGAAGAGTGTTCCTTTCATATCGACCCTGAGATTTAGAAACTACTAAAAGTAACTCATTACAATGATTACAGAGTTAACCATTAGGAAACTATTTATTGACCCAGAAATCAGGGAGATCAAAATAATTACTTTCAGAAACATGAAAGAATCTTAGTTGGGAGTTTATATTGAGTCATATATAAAATAAGTTCTCTTTTTCCAGAATTATTCAAATTACTGTCCATTAGAAGGATAGGGATCGGGGTTACCTTCCCAGCATTTAACATGCATCCTCAGGGGTTTTCACATTACTATAAGTATCTCATGAAGGAACAAATAACATGACAGTTTAGGGCAATCTAAAGAAGATGTTATTTTGAGTGAAATAAAAATAGGCTATGAGAAAATGAATTAGGAAGAAAATGGGGGGTGGGGGCGGGAAATGTAGTATGAAAAACTACTCTCTACAACTAATGTTACTACACATGCCCATGCTCTATAAATTCAGAGACATTTTGCTTTCCCAAGTTGGCTGTCCACTTACCCTCGTTGTTTTCACTTTATTCCCAGAGGAACAGCTCCATCCTTTCCGATCCGGAAGAACTTTACATTCCTCTCCCTCAAGACATGGTTGCATATGGCACCACCATTTCTGTTCCACTATTGAAGCTACAAGAGATAGAAAAATCAATTCAGTGTTTTCTGTTTGGGCTGGTTAATTCTCTGGGCGCATGTTCAAAGAGGAAAAAAGGACACTGATATTTCCCATCATTAGGTAGACTGGGTTTGAGGCATGCTTCTCTCTTTGTCTAAAGGGGCTGAATATTTCTAGATTTTCTGACTAAAAGAATTTTTATGTTACAGTTTAGTTTATTGTGGTAAGAACACTTAACATGAGCTCTACCCTCTTAAATAGTATTGTTAATTATAGGCACATTGTTGAAGGATTTTTTCATGTGAACATATATAGGCTTCGTGAAAACTAATACAGTGGAAAGAAGCTTATGTAGGCATATGCATGTACTGTTTTACCTAAATATATTTTTAAAAATGAACCTATAACAAGTTCAGAGCCAGTATTATAGAATCAGTGTAATCTTTCCCACAGGGAGGCTAAAATTAGGAGGATATTAGAATTAATGTAATTTTTTTTACTGTGGGCAGTAACCTTCATCACAAGGAATGAACCATGCTAATATGAGTACTGAAATTATTATTTATGATAATACCAAATAGACCCATACAAAGATTTATGTCCTATTATAATTAGGTGAACACTCTAATAAAGAAAAAAATATTTTGGTGGACCTCCATAAAAATCATTTTTTCATGTGAATTCAATCTACAACTTTGCTCATTTGTATGGTGCTTATTTTTTTATTCTTAAGAACCATCCATAGGTTTAGGCAACCATACTTTTTAATCCCCTCTTTTTATCTTTCCTTTCCCAATTAATTTAGATACACAAGCCGTTTGCTAGCAAATAAGTATTTCATGGTATCAAAGTGACATGGACTTGTTGGAACCTCATTATAATGCCTTGTTACAAAACTGGGTAAGGTCTTAGACTTCCTTCTGAAGGATTTCAGAATGCTCCCTCAACCAAATAATCTCTACAACCACATGATTTACGGTGTGGTCCCTCAGGATTGACCACAGTCAACAGCATTGTAGTGGGGTTCCAGTTCTAACCAGTCACGAGCTACACAACTACAGAAAGCAATGGAAGAAGTCGCACCATCCACACAAGATGGAGCAGCTCGCGTGGTGCCTGCCACCTGGCCGGGGAAGCAGGAACACTTGACCGTCTGTGATCGCTCTTCTATTTTGTTCTTATTACAGCATCTGTGGAGTGCCACCACCTCGCAAGTGCCCGTTTTAACATGGTGAGCTGCACAAACAAAAACAAGAGATAAGACAACATTGAGAAAGCTTTGGATAACTCCCACTCTTTTTAATTAGAAGTGCATTAAATATTGCTCTATAAGGGATCCACCATGCATGAAACTAGAAATACAATGATGCTGACTCCATAATGCAGATTTGATTTCTTTTCCAAATGTGGTATGACCATTTCTGTCAGTAAATGCTTGGTGAAGCAGAACAATTAGTGACCAGATTAGGATGAGCTGTTAGAACAGTCTGAAATATAGAGACAATATGTAGTGCCATCAAAAACATACTTATTTGCATATGACTTTCTAGCCAACAAAGAAAGGTAAAGCCATAGACAAGGTGCCCTGCAGTGGGGCTAAGGGCAGATCTGTCCTCAAAGTAGGGGAAGAGGAATTAAGGTTATGTTATCCTTCTAGGGATGAGGGCAAAGGCCAGACAGGTAACTTCATTTCAGAAAGAAAGTACAGGGTTGAACCCATCTTCTCAGTGTTCTTCTGCCCAGTTTCCCCAGGAATGAATTAATTGGGAATTCTTTAAATGGCTGCCATTTCCCTGAAAGTCCCAGCCACTTCAGACCAGAAAACCATTTCTTTCAGTTCTTCCTGAGGGAACAACTGCCACCAATAGTAACAACTGTCGACAGAATGTGGATGGATTTATATCTAGGCTGGGAGCCCCATCCAATGAGCTTTGAGATTCCCTGACCCATTCTGTTAACCTGGCAGTAAGGCTACTGAATGGTTTGGGTGCTTGAGATTTTTGGACCTCTACTTATTACATTACAATAGGGTTTTAGTTTGCCCTCACTTTTTTGCAGCATTTCATCTTCAAAATATTAACCCTACTGTGAAATGATAAAGCAGAAGTTTCATCTGCTAAAAATAACAAAGTTAAAATCAAACATCTGTTGAAACACTGTTTTCAGAAATTTAAAAAATGTGATTGATATAAAAAGCACATCTCAAGTTGTTTAATGTTATAAACATATCGATGCTCATTTTGTAAATGAGATCAGTACATCATATATTTATATTAATCTTCCCCTTGGGGATGAGTATCATTGTGCAGTAACTTGGTTAGATACCTTGCTTAGCTTTTTCTTGTGAGAGAGAACAAGTCACACATATTGTCGACACCATCACTCTATGTGAGACTAAGAAACTTGGGTGTGACATATGGCTTTGACATGTGATCCTCAAAAGCACTTTCAAGAAGCAGACACCATTTCCAATGTCACAAAGATCTTCTTGCCATTGTAGATACAAATGGGGACTTCTCAGTGTTTGATTCAAACAGGAGGCTATCTGTGCAACAGTTAAAAACTTGAGAGCCAGACTTTTTTTCTCATGTGCTCTAGAAAATATTTTCTTAGCTAAGGATGATTCAGTTTGTTTGAATTTATTGAATTCTTCACATTATGTCATATGAGTCAATTTACTGCTTTCATTATGGCACTTCACTTAATCACATTTTATCTGAGTCAATACCACACCTGAGGGATGGTTCTGAGTACTGGGCTACAACAGTGCAAAGGCAAAACATATAGCCTGCCCTCAGCAAGCTCATATTCCTGTGGAGAAGACAAATTATAAATACCTATGAATGATTATAACACTACTAGATTTTTAAGCTCCTGGAAGGAATTTCTGAAGGATAAGGTGAGAGTAGGGAGGGAAAGTATATTTTTGTGAGTCTCAGAGAAGACCTCTGTGAGTTAATATAATAATGACCTGAGTGAGAAGGAAGCATCTATTATGAAGATCTAGAAAAGGAAGAGCATTGCAAATAAAAAGAGCATCAAGTGACAGGGAACTGAAATGGGGAAATGTGTGCTTGTTCCCGGGCTACAGTATGGCTGAACAGTTGGGAGGTCTATGGAACTGTGGCAGAAATGTAGGACGATCAAGTGGGGGCTGGGATGCTGCAGTAAGGGGACCAGATTTCACAAGGGAAATACGCTGGGTGGATATGGTATCAACTCATAAATGCTTATGAGAAGTTTGCTCAGACTGTTCTTTAAAGAATGGACTGAAGAAAGCAAGAGTGGGATCAAGGAGACCAGTTATAAGAGTCTCAAGGATAAAGGATAGGACTTGGGCTATACTAACAGCAGCAAAGTTGGGGAGAAGTAAAAGATTAGGAATTTTTCCCTGTAGAACTGTCTGACTTGCTAGTGGACTGAATGGGAGCAGTGAGGGAAGGAGGACTTAGGATTACTCCTCAGCTTGTCCTGAGCAGTGAAAAGTTGGTAAATTGGTGGTTCTGCAAACTAATGTTTGCCAGATAGGAGATTGGGGGTGGGGGGATGAACTAGGTAAAGAGTACATTCATCATGATGAGCACTGAGCAGTGTGTAGAACTGTTCAGTCATTATATTGTATACCCAAAACTAGTATAGTACTATATGTTAATTATACATGAACCATATACATATCGAGGGGTGGTTCTGATAGATAGAGAAAGCCTGGGAATGGGGGTCTGGCAAAGCTGGGTTGGGTTAAAATATCTATAGTTCTATGTTGTCAGTGTTAAATTTGAGATTATTACAAGACACCCAAGTAGCTATGTAAATCAGGCAGTGGCATTTGAGAAGTGGAGCTTAGGGAAGAAATCTGGGCTACAGATACACACTTAAGAAATCTAGGCTCATAGGTGATATTTAAAGCCACAGAGTAAACCAAATTACCATGGAAAAGTTGCCATTAGAGAAGAAGGGAAAGAATAGTCCAAAAAAAGCTCAATCTGAAATGGGGGAAACAGGAATAAAGACTGACAAGGAGCAGCACATGAAGTAAGAGAAAAAGACCATGGGACAAAAGCATGAAAAACCAAAAAACAAAAATTTCAAGAAGGAGAGGATCGATCAGCTTTGTCAAGTGCTGATGCAAGATTCAATAAAGAGAAATCACTGTCCGTTAAAAAAGTAATATCATGTACTAATTAAGAGTATAGCCTTGAAAACCAAAGTAGCTGGGTTCAAACATAAGCTCTCTGAAAAGCTGTGTGACCTTGGGCAAATTATTCAGTATCTCTGAATAGCATTTTTTTTTCCCTATCTAAAAGAGGGATACTAATAGCACCATCTTTATAGGGTTGGTGTGAGGCTGAAATGAGTTAATGGATATAAAGTACTTAGAGTACTGCCTGCCTTATAGTAGGCACTCTTTGTTAGCTATTGTTAGCATTTGATCACAGTAAAAATCATTTTAGAGGCATGATGAAAATAAAAGCATGATTAAAGTAAGTTTATTGGAGAATAGGATGTAAAACTGTGCAATTATACAAATTTCTTCCAAGAAGCTTTCTGTTAAAGGAAGAAGGAAGTGAGCAATAGCTGGAATGAAGCATGGTGTCAAGGGAATTTTTTTAATGGATGCCATAAAGGCATGCTTACTTGCTGGAATGATCTAGTACAGAAATGTACAATATAGGAGAGAAAATGGGCAATTACAAAAGAATGTTCTTGAGAAGGCAGAAGGAATTGAGAGTCAGGGCACTTGGAGGGGTTAACAATAAATTGATGTGGAAATACTTAATCCATTTTAACAAGAGTTAAGGTCGGATGTGTAGCTACCAAGGCAGGTAGGTGTGAATGGATTAGGTGGTGAGGACATGAGGCAGTTTCTTATCCAATTTCATCTAATTTTGCTATGAAATATGAGAGGTGTTTGAAAAGAAAAAAAGAGATAAAATAGGTATCTGAAAAAGAGGAAAAGTAAGTATACTGGGAAGGAGTAGGAAGATTGCTTAAGGGAGCTGGCTGGCGCACACTGTAAACTGCAGAGAACATGGCTTGATGCAACAAGGGCTGGGATTTCAGAGGGGGGTGGAGATGACCCTGGACTTGTGACAGTGATTCAGGAAAATGGAGATGTAGGCCATGAGATCAGTCCTACAAGTCTTTGAATGGAAGCCAGGCTGGAGACAAGAGATTAGGGCAGGGCTTCAGAGAGTGATTCTGTTCAGCACTGAGCTGAGACAGCTCCAGGGAAGCCTGAGGCCACCAGAGCTCTGTTCCCTTCCAGGGTATAATGGCATCCAGGAGCACAGAATGGCAGGCCACTGACCTCTACCCTGGGAGAAGAGAGCCTATTTCAGCATGCACAAAGGCCATTTCACTGTCTTTGTCATAGGAGATTTTATCATACATGGGAAAGGGATGGACAAGCAAAAACTGCATCTGATGTCCCCTTCCCAATACCAATATCAAAATTCATTTCTACTTTACCTGATAAGAACTATAAAAGGATAAAGTAGTTGTGGTAGTCACTAGTAAATATTAGTGCTGTCTGCCAAATATTTCTGGTTCTCTCTCTTCTGGACACATGGTAATATTGTACTTCTCCACCTCATTAACCTTAGATATGGTGATGTGACTTGCTCTGGCCAATGAAATGAAAGCTAAAGTAATAGGAGTCACTTATGAGTAAAAGCAAAGGATATCAGTCTGTGTGGCTGCTTTAAAAGCTACTATACAATTCACTACATTCCTCCCTACCAGCCCAAGCAACCAGATATGTTCTTAACAGTGGGAACTATATCAACCTGAGTCTCCAAATGAAGAGACTGAACCATGATGGACCTGAGTGAGAAATAAGCCTTAGCTTGTTACAAGGCTCTAAAATTTTGAGGTTGTTTTGGTTACTGCTTCAAAACTTAGCCCACCCCTGAGGACATAGTGGTACTTTCTACCGCAGCCTAGATTGTTTAGTAGGATATATTTTCCCAAATGCATTAGTTGGAGGATAAGCCAGTGAAGCATGATACCTCAAAACATATCATTCTAGCTTATTTGAGTCAATGAAAAATGCAGATTTGGGGGCACCTGGGTGGCTCAGTTGGTTAAGTGATCTCAGGTCATGATCTCTCAGAGCCCGTGTTGGGCTCTGTTCTGACAGCTAGCTCAGAGTCTGGAGCCTGTTTCAGATTCTGTATCTCCCTGTCACTGAAACTCCCCTGCACTTGCTCGCTCGCTCTCTCTCAGAAATAAATAAA